CCATCATTGGACACCCTCCCCACTCCTCCCTAAGCATGCAGACACTTTGTCATCATCCAGTGGTCACCAACACGTGATACACAATTTTAGCAAGCAACTCTATGAGCAGGCATCCTCAGGTCTCAGGGGCGTTCACTAGTGGATACAATTGCATCATAAATAATAATTATAATTAGTTTTAATTATGATAATCAACAAATCACTCAGGGCTATCCATGTACCTTGGCCATCTTTAACTTTAACTGAAGTTCAGGAGGTCTCTTTTTTCCAGCCATATTTTTCCTATATTCAGTGATGGCGAATATAATAAGCCCTCCGACTCCTGTTGAAAACAAACGTCAGTATAATTACAAGAAAGACATAATAATGATCTGCTACTGTAGTTATAACTGTCACTTGTAACACTGAAAATGGAAATTGGTACCCATACTCAGATTTTATACAGTAAAACACTCAAAAATAGTGGAAATAATGTACTGATTCTCTAAGTGATACCTCTTGAATTTATATGTTAAGGAATCTCTAGCAACTTGAGCCCAGTTGTTCAACGAGTGGAGAATGCTATCTACTGGGCAAGTCACTATCCAGTAGATACAAGTGTTGACAAAACAAACTGTACTATCCACTGGATAGTGATCTATCCGGTGAATTGTGTTATCCACACTTTCAACTACAGAGGCCTAGTTTTTAAAATAATAGTAGTGCAACTTTTAATCAACATGTATTAATCTCTTATCATCTAATGGTATTAATTAGTCACACTATTATTATTCAAAGTCTATTTATGGTAAAATTTGTAATTGTTTTTTACTTAAAAACACAACTATTCTGAATGCTCCAAATATGTCAGCTAACTTGAAAATGTTGGGGAAGCTTGTTGTCTCACTTAGGGGTATAAATCAAGGATTCTGGTATAACTTAGGGTGGTCATGGCAAAATGCCACAATTTTTAGCTGTCAAAGTCTCTTTTAGGGAACACTCAAAGAAATAATAATAATATAGAAAATGCTCTTAATCCTGTTGTTAGGCTCGATTTCTGCAGGTCTCTTGAGTCCAGTTTACTAGCACAAGCTCCTTTCCTGAACTGCAGCAGGCAATCAAGCCTATTCCGTTTTAAGTGGTATCTTTTAGGGGTCAAATAAGGCTTGAGCCACACCCAGATTGGTCTCCTTTAGGGGTTTAATTCAAATTTTCTGACGAGCATCCCCAACGTTTTCATATGGAAGTCTCGC